CTACTCAGGGATCACTTTGGCCAGTGTGCTGTGGAAGAGCTAAGTTGGGCTACCGGGCGTACTGAAGTCCAAAGTTCTAAAAATCTAACAACCCCACAGTCCTACGGGTGGGGAATAAACATGGCAGGTTGACTTGTTGTAGTTCTCCATTTGGTGGCTTTTATCGTTTTGTCTTTTTTTTTCGTCCCCGGCCACTTTTGTCGTGTGGACAATTTCAACCAATTCAATCCCTTTGACCAAGCTAAAGCAAGCTAGAAAAAGGAAGAGGTAAGAGATACAGAAAAGAAGCACCTCAAACACATCAAATGAAGAACCGAACCGAACTGAACCCGTAGAGGTCCAAAAAATGGAGGCGGCAAAGAGAACATGCGTAAAAAGGTATATAAGCATGGACCCTAAAACTGCCATACCGAGGTCCACAGCCCTACTAAATGAGGGTCTTGAACCTGTAGCTCACAAGAACGGGGTACGTCATCACCTGGGTCGAGGGTGGGGAGTTCACCACCATCGGGCGATCAATCGATCTCGCTCAATCTCGAACCGTCTCCTGAAGAGGTCCAACTCCTTGAAAAGCCTCTCGCAGCGTCGAGACGCTTCTTCGCGACTCAGACGCGCAACTTCGCGACTCAGCACATGAGACTTGGAATCACTCCAACCGTGATTTGAAAAGAGAAATGAAAAAGGAACAGCCCCCAAGCATTCCACCCATCAAAAACCTTCTAAAACCAGCTCAAACCACAGGTTAAACTAAAATCCATTGAAAGCATGTGTCTTGATGAAACATATCGGCCCTATGTCAGGGTCAGTAGTGGTCTAAAGATCATGCAGCCGAGAGCAAAAAGTAATGTAGGCTCTTGACATCTCTTCATGATATTTCCAACCCGCAACTCTGAAGAGGTTCCTACACGGGAGGCGTTGATTAATCAAGAGTCTACAATGACGTTCATTGTGTAGCATCCTTCCACGTGTATTTCACCTCAACCAGGAGAGGTCATCCAGCCTACCAGCTCATCCGTTCCTGCACCTTGGCTACCCCAAAACGGCCGGATCTCCGTTTCGCTCCCAACGGGCGGAGCTCCGTTCGGCCGCCTGGCCGGGCTTGACATCTTTGGCCCATTCCGCAGGTGATGGAAGGGGGATGGATCGGTGGTGAGCACAGGTTGTTCGGTAGATGGACGGTGGGATAGGTTGACGCGGGGTTGCAACCTGGCAGGGACTGGTAGTGGCAGTGGTGGCAGTAAGCGAAATCCATTTGCCAACAGGTTGAAAGCTCTGCTTCTCTGTTCTTCTCCTTGCGCAGGCTTTTCTTAGAGTAATGCTCGACATGTACCATTGATTGGGCTGACATCAAAACGCGGATGAAATAACTTGAGCTGCGGAATGAAGCCAAGCATGTCCAAGCCTGATGGGTGAGATGTCCGGATGAATGTCTTCCAAGTCTTTCTCTTGGCCGAACGAACGCGGCGAAGCCGGACACAGGGCCAAGCCGGCCGGATCACCGTGCATCCAGTATGATGGTACGTCGGTGATGCGGGGTCTGCATGCACATTGGAAACAAGTAAGGATTTACCATTGTGGCTTGCCATTTCGTCCTATTTTCTCCGAGCACTTCCAAAATAGACTGGCAAACCATGGTAGTTGAAGCTGAAAAAATGCTCCCATACACTGGATCTG